GGTGCCATACATTTGCGTAGTGCACGCCCATCTCCAGGTAAAGCAAGAACGGAGGCCGACATTTCCTGCACGCCCCTTAAAGAGACAGGCGCTAAGATCAAGTGTTTGAGACAGAGGCTGAAAAGAGGAGCTGCAGCGATGGACATTTTGAGGACAGAAATTCTGAACATTAGAGCACGAAGATATTTAATAGTCCTAAGACTTAAAACTATCAACATGAAGATGAACAGAATACGTCTCCTTTAAACTGACGAGACAACTAAAGATCACCTGATACAAGACGAGGGCTGACGAGATACAACTTTACACAATTTAATAAGTGGTTAAAATACCAAAGCAGACTGGTGGAAGGTTCGAGGACAGAACACTGAGCATCTTTCTCTTTTCACTGAACTCGAGCTGCACAGAGTCGCTACTATAAATGAAAACGAGCGGACATGAACTCACCTTGATCCCATCATCCTGTGGTGGAGACAAAGACCGAAGTCAGAACAGGCAGAAACAAACAGATTCATATAAATACACATCAAATAAAGAACTTCGTCTGCTCAATGAGAAGGAAACAAAGAGAGATGCACCATTAAGATTTGAACAGACAAGAGATTTCAAAGATATGTTTCTAAATGTGGGTTTGTGAGCAGGTGGTAAACTCAGAAGATTAACCTGTCACTAAATGTTCACTAAAACTTTGTCCACTGACAAAAGGCTCAAATTGTTATTCTGGGTCTTAGCTAAGATTGTGGAATCGTTCCTCCACCGCTGGTTTCCCTTCCTCTGTCCATTCATGAACTCCTCAAACAGGTCGACCAGTGAAGCTAAACACGTGATCGACACTGTCCACGTCAGAAAAAGATTCAGCCAACACACTTCCTCCCGGTGAAATCCAAACTCTCTCTCGCTCACGTTTCCGCCTCCGTCTTCCTACAACAACCTCGGTCAGACAGATGTGATGTTGAACGACTCAGCGAAGACCCAGAATTTCAGCCTTTTATTGGTGAAAAACATTTTAGTGAATATTCTGTGGACTGTCGCTTCTGCACACACACACACACACACACACACACACACACACACACACACACACACACACACACTGACCCTCCGACGATGAGCTTCACCATGACTCTGTATGAAACCATGATTCCCAGAACCTCCTTCAACACGCCCTCCTTGACACTGAAAGAGAAGAAGACGACCATGTTTGCAGAAACTTCTGGATCCATCGAACACGTCAACATTTTCTCTGCGTGGACGCTGGTTGTCTCCTCACATGCTCGACGATGCCAGGTTGGTGTCTTCGTGCTTCAGTTTACCGTCCAGAGCGATGCCCCTCCGCTCCCTGTTGTTGGCCAGCAGGGGCAGCAGCGTGTAGGTCTTCTCCAGGCTCGCCCCAGCAGACACCGAGTCCCTGAGACATGGAGACAGTTACACATTCAACTTTTGACAGATATCGTGTTCGTATGGATAAGATGGACGATCTGAAGACACGAAGCCTCCGGCCACCAGGTGTCGCCAGTGTGGAGCCATTAAAACGACACCGCTCTTTATTAATTCTGGAGAACGCTGTGCGTGCTGACCATTACCCAAACTCCTCGATGGCCACAGATTTGACGTAGGTGTCATTGGAGTACAGGACCACAGTGGAGACCTGATCCACTGAGGAGGACAAGAGGAGACATTCAGTCCAGATCCTGCTTCATGACATGTGACACATCTCAGTGAGCGTCACGTTTACCAGAGACGATGATGTTCTTGATGTTTTTGCTGGAGTTGTTTGTAACGCTGACGTGCACCTTGATGGATTCACCGTGGTAGTACATCTGAAAACAGGATGTGAGGTCAGAGTGAGCGTGAGCTGTCACTCGTGACGTCTCAGCTGCTTTTTATATCATCAAATAAGAAATGGAGACTCTTGGACAAACATCAGTGTAACCACCTCAAATGGCCAAAAGCATATTTGGCAAACATTGTGTGTTCCAGTTCTAATTGTACAAGTTACTGAATATAAGTCGATGACTTTAGATTTTGTGTGACCTCACCTCTTTGTCCAGACTGGCCTTGACGTGCAGCGGTTTGTCAGACATCACAAAGTCCCTGGTGGTTTCAACAGAGGGCGCCACTCCTTCGCTCTCTGGGGCAAACTGGACCTTCCTGAGCATCAGCTTCACTGAGCTCCTGTTGGACAGAACAAATACGAGTAAACATGAAAACTGTTTTCTGAGTGTCTGCTCTGACTCAGCGATGTGTGACGACCCTGCAGGTTCTTCTTCCTCGTCATTAAAACATTGATGCAAACCTCCGTATTCTCGCAGGACGGACGAGCTCAGACTCACCGCTTGCGAACTTTAGCGTCCTGGCTCTCTGCGCTGAACGCCTTGATCTCAAACTCCACGGCACATTGCTACAGACCGAGAGAGAAGAGGCGTCACCGTCCTGTCATGTGTTCACTTCATCCATAGCAGCTGCTGGTTTGAATCCCGAGTCGGTTTCTTACCTTGCCGACGTCATGTGGCGTCGGCTGCATGGCCACTGAGCAAGGCAGGTTGTCAGGAAACTGTGAAAACAAAAACACATCAGTCAGCCTGTTTATTTCCACCGTGATCGTTTCCCTAACACACATCACCTTCAAAATAAGATACGGATTTACAGGGAGAAAATCAGAATAAAAGCCTCCGAGCTTGTACTGAAGTCTGTGCTGATGCAGACTTCTCCTCCTTCATCCTTCTTTCTTCTACGTTTTATCTTCATCAACATTCTGATAATCGTAGTGAAGTGATCATTAGTTCAGAGGAGAAATGTCCATACGAACTATTGACTTATTTAAAACAATATTACAATTCGACACTTTGACACGTTGGCGGAGGAACAGCGGTTTGGAGAGGAGGTTGGTTTGACCGCTCCACCGCAGCTCTCACCTCGAAGAAGAACGGGTAGGCGTTGTCTCCCAGCTTGCGCAGCAGTCGGGCCTGAGACTTGGTGTGGATTCCTTTCTCGCGGTCCTGCAGGGGCGGGTACACCTGGCGGGTCGACAGGTACAGCTCCCTGCGGAAGGCGATTCCCATCACATCCATGTCATCTCTGCCGTAGCGAAAGGTGCAAGACAGGGTGACGAACACTGGAGGGCAGAAGAGAAACCAGAGGCTCAAGTTTTTCCAATTGCTAAAACACTAAAGTGACATGCATAGCACAATAATTTAAACTGACACACAGAGAGCAAAACCTCTAGTCTCCAAAAGTCTGAACACATTTTATGCTTTACACACATTTTCTTTTTCAGTTTCCTGTATCTGCATAATTTGCTAAAGTTTGCAAAATCGTGTTTTAGCAATTGGAAAAAACTAAAAGTATAAACAAATGTTGTGTATTTGTATAGTTGTGTCAATTATCCAATAATCTCCGTATCGAGAATGACTCATCTCTTCGGCTTCACACTCGTTCTGTGTTCAGGGTTCAGTGAAGCTCACTGGTAAACTTGGTTTGATTTGGATATGTGATACAGCTGCTGGAACTCAGCACGTTCACGACACTCAGGGTTTCATTGGTTCCCTGAACATCACATTGTCAGAGAGTGGAGTCAAATGATCTGAATCTGTTCAGGTCTGGATCCTGAGCCCGGATCCTGAGCCCGGATCCTGAGCCTGGATCCATGTGTTTGGCCGCTGACCTTTCCTCCCCTGCAGGGCCTCGGGATCTGTGAGGATGACGCCATCTAGTGGTAGAAAGAAAAGTCAAAGCTCTTAAGGAAATTAAAAACAGAACGATCCTGCAGTCGTCAGCAAAGGTTGGACGCTGCTGTGACTTCATCAAATACATATTGAAAACATGTTGTATAATAACTGTATAGAGTCAACTCAGGATGAGAGCAACTGATGAACTGTTCGTTTAATTCACATCATCAGTGATTATTTATTTATATCGGATTTAAAAAAGTGTGTAAATAAGTAATAAGAGAAAAAAACAAAGCTGTGTGTGTGTGTGTGTGTGTGTGTGTGTGACTCATCATTCATTATTTCACCTTTAACACAAGCCAGAACATGAACCCTCCTATCTAAGTCCATCGACATGAGTGTTGGGTCAGTGTCCTGCTGGTGGACGGTGTTCGTGTATTTTAGAACTCACCCACTGGATCCACTGAGTCCACACGGTCCACAAAGTCTCTCTTGCCCATGTACACTCCGACCTGAAGAGGAGAAAAGACAGAACATCTGACATCATGAGATCTGTGCATCGTCGTGAAATCCATCGTCCAACAACCTGAAATAAAAGAAAATCAACAAGCATCTACAGAACCAACCGAAAACAACCGAACTAGATATCAAACACACACACACACACACACACACACACTTCAGCAGAGTCAGCTGTAATCTGACATAAAGCTGTCAATCACACACGTGTCTGGGTGGCGCTCACGTTGTCGTGACTTTGCGTCGACCTCCTGAGGATCAGTCAGACAAACAGAAGCTGCTTTATACAGCGAGAGGGGAAGTTTCCCTCTGAAACACATCGATCGCTGCAGCGTCTCGCGGCCGACCTGACGCTGCAGCGGCCGATGTTACGTCACCTGTCACTCACCGACTTGTCTTTGCAGATCTTCTTGAAAACAACATTTCTTGGACTCATGTTGGTGCAGGTGGACGTGAGTCAGAGGAGCCTGAGAACGAGACACAGGAGACGAATGTTTGTTAAAACCCAAGTTTCATCTGTCGTGATCTGAGTCACATGGTTTTTAAAAGTTACTTTTCTTCTATATGAGTGATGGACATGTGATAAAAATGTATTTGGACAATCATCAGCTCTGACAATGATAATAATGAAAAGTGGAAGAAGATAATTCAGAGTTTCACTGATTCCAGCTCAATGCTTCATGTTGTGTTTCTCGCTCCATATATTTACATGGAGGAGACCCTCTCTACGGAGGCAGCCATGTTTTCTACATTAGTCCAGACTGAACAAACTAAAACCTTTTGAGTTTACATGACACGTCACCACTAGATGTCACTAAATTCTACACACTGAACCTTTAACCTGATGGATAAATTACTGAATATGTGAAAACTATCAA